TTACATTTTAAACGTTGGTGGATTCAGAATCAAACATCCTCAAATATATGCACTTATGTGCAAAAGATGTGGCCACAGTTAAATTCAGTTAATCACGAAACAAACCCTTAAATTATCAATCTAAAGGAAACAAACAAATAAATAAAACAATGCACAATATTACAAAAATACATAAAAACAACAATGCAATCAAAGGGAATAAAAGATTTACAAAATTTTACAACATGGTCCCCTTTCTTGACTGCATGCTCCTGTAAATGCAATCCCCAAGGCAGGACCAATTAACTAGCTTGGTACATTTTTGTTGGTTTGATAAAATAGCAATAAAACTTGAATATTTTTTCAGCTTTTCTTTTAACAAAACATTTCGTTGCATTATTTTTGTTTTGGGGATAGCGATCCGTGCTGATATTCTTTCTGGCAGCATAACAAATATTGAAAACAGGAAGGTCCTATATAAAATATTGCCAATGGAGCAAACGTAGTTGTGGATATGAATGAAGCAAAGATATATAGAATTATTCAAGCAAAGATATATAGAAAGTAAACCTCCTATATATATATAATATATCCGATGGCAGATACAAAGATTGAATATTATGAACATTTAACTAAACTACAGGTTTAAATATGGTATTTGAAATTATCTCTTAACATATTATCTAAGAAATTTTTTCCTAGCTGAACTTCGATCCTTACTTTATCAGGCATCGACCGTTATAAATCTAAATAATATGTTTTACCTTGTTTTATGAGTTTCTTTTATCATTTCAAGGTAACCAACCACTTGTTTGAATTTTCAGAATGATAAAGATTTAAATTTTCTTTCATTCAAAGCTGACTAAATTATGGGAATTATTACGAGCAGTCATAGTTATTAATAATTCCGCTATTTACGGAGATGTTTTTTATATATATAATGTATTTTAAACTGAGTGTGATTCGAAAACTTGTAAAGTAGTATATATTTCTGCAACGGTTATTCGAAATACGAGAGGTTAATAAAGAAAATTCATGATTGTTTCGAAAAGAAATTAAAAAATGCGTTTCCCGATTTTATATATAATACTGAAAGTAAAATTATAGTGAATCTTATTGTTAGGCCAAGAAAAATAACGAGAAAATACCACGGTGAAATATTTTCAACTCCCCCCCCCTTCATTCTGGAATTCATTTTCTTTTACATAAGCGCCGTGTCTTCTGTAATTTTCCCTGACATTTATATGATTAAAATGTCTCGTGTGGGTGATTTTTAATGTTTTGGTTATTTGTGTGCCCACGGTTGTTGTTTTAATGTTTTTTAGCTAGCTATAAATTTAATGTTGTTGTTTTAATGTTTAGTGTAGTCGCAGATTAAATGCTGTTGTTTAATGTGTTAGCTAGTTAAATGTGACTAGACATCCCAGACTTTGCAGGGCAATCTCGGATTTTAGTGCGGCGTACCGCTTAAGGAATACGTCTCCTATAATTTCTGTAAATCCTGTTCAGAATTCCATAAATATTCTAGAATTTTATAATTTTATAATCTAGGATTTTATTTAATAAACAGACGACAATCCACTAATTCTTTTCAATGTACACTGCGAAAAAAAAATGGGACAGTTCTATAGCTCCCGTTCTATCTAGCCGATTGAAAAAATTCAAATTGCGTTTTCATGTCTCGGAAGCGCGACTTAGGATATATATTAGATTTATATATATATATATAGTAGTAGTAGGTAGAAACATTGCAACGCTAAAAGTTACCAGGAGCTGTAGCTCCACGAAATATTTCAACGCTGTATTACTAAAATATGAACTAAGAAGAAATTTTTTGTTTGGAAAAACTGGAAAAAATTGTAAACACGTGAAAAAAACCGCCTAAAATTAATGTTGGAAGACATGCTAATGCACGAAAAAATTAATCTGACCGTTGTGATATGTGAAAAGTTAACATACATAAAAAATAGATTGACGGAAAATATATATATATATATATGAAAAGTTAATACATGTAAAAATAATTAGATGGACTGAAAAAATGCCATTACAAAAAATGCAATTTATAGCTCTATTCTAACATAGTTATTCTGATACGAAATCGTACTTTTTCTGAAATAACATACCATTTTTTTTCCATATTTCGATTCTACGTCTCAAATTATGCATAAATATGAAATTTTGTAAAATTTGGTGCGAAATTTACGGAGAAATTCACAAATTTATGGTGGCACTTTTTTTCAGTTTGCTCCAAGAAAAGGTTGCCATATATTTAGAAGTTCGCCAAGTTCTTTGCTCCACTTGGCGAACTTCTTAATCTATGGCAACCTATTTTCCTTTCCCGTGAGCGGGAAAAAACGTCACAATCGTTCCTTTTTACTTCCTTGTACGAAGTAAAAAGGAAGTATTGTAATCGCGAAAAGTTTCAGGCAGCATATTTCAACGAAAATATCCATTTTGACCGCTATCGAATGCAATTTAACGATGTTTTTGCGTGATATCTGTACGTAAGGACAGAATAAAAGACTCGTTTCCGCCAAAAAAATTATAAAACTGCTTTAAAATTAATTCTGAAGAGAAATTTTCGTGGCGTCTGTACAAACGTATGTACGTACTTACGTACTTTCGTGCGTACGTACGTATCTCGCATAACTCAAAAACGATTAGCCTCAGAACGTTGAAATTTTGTATATAGGACTGCTATAACATGTAGATGTGCACCTCGTATTTTGGTTGCAATCGGCCGCACCAAACGTATATAAATACTATATTTATATATATATCGATTTTGTTACTCGGCACAGTGATCTCAGTTTCTTTACTCTTATATGTTTGCAAATTGTACATTTATTGCTTTAAAAATGATTGAATTATGTTGTTCTTATCTTCCGGTTAAGGTTTTTATGCCTTTCGTAATTCTGGAAGCAATATTTGTACAATTATCAACAATTTAAAAGCTGTTTAAGTGCGGTTAAGTTTTAAATAACATGGCGGACATATTTGTTTACATTTGAAACAGCAGAATTGTAGATTTGTTGCCAATCTAGAGAGACTAAACTTCGCAACAACAAAAACAACGCCTTCATTTATTATTGCGAATTAAATCATGCTTAATCCTTTCTGGAATTTTTTCGAGGAAATAAGTGTTTAAGATTTACTTAATTTTTAATAATTAGTAATTTAATTTTTAATAGTTAGTAATTTTTAATACAGGTATTTTGAGCTTTTATGTATTTTTGTCTTGTCGCGAAGGGAAAACTGAATTAATTGAATGAGAAATACTCAATCGTCTGTGAAAAACTGTTTTTTTTTTTGTTTGTTTTTGTTTTGTTTTGTTTGCTTAATTTCTTTTTTACATCGTTCTAGCTTTATTATAATATTTGAAAAGAACATGTGGCAACGATTAGATAATTCTTTAAATGATATACTTTTTGGGCACTCTGAGTTATAATATGAATGAAATATAATACAGTGGTGCCTCACACAACGAACTTAATTCGTTCCAGGAGCAAGTTTGTTATGCGAAAAGTTCGTTATGTGAAACGCGTTTTCCCATAACAATACATGTTAAAAAAAAATAATTCGTTCTGTAGCATAAAATATGCTAAGATGACATAAAAAAAGATAAATTTTTTGTTATTATTTTTATTTAGATACATCTAAAAACATATTTTTTTTAAAAAAAAACACACATTTTTTTAATTTTAAGACAGAGTAAGTAGAGTCTACCGAATCTTGTACATCTTCATCCATTTTCTGCTTTTTGGCCGATGGTTTCATGAAAAACCTGTGAAAGTCGTTTTGTTTTTCTCTTTTCTCCAACATCTGCCGGAAATAACGGACAAGAGTATCGGAGTAAAGATCGTTGATCCTGTTTGCTTCAGCTGAATCCGGATAGTGGGCATTGGTTAACTCCTGAACTGCTTTCTATTTGACCAGGATGTTCTTGATGTCAGCAGTTGGGATTGGTTGATTGTTTGATTGTTGCTCCTCGTTATCAGATGACGCTTCCCTTTGAGCATTGTCCTGTTGCTGGACCAGAAGTGCTTGGAGCTCGTCAGTTGTCAGCTCTTCTTCGTGTTCCTCAATAAGCTCCTCTACATCCTCTTCCTCTACCTCTAATTCCAACCTTTGGGCCACTGTGATGATGTCCTTCACTACTTCTGTGTCATCAACTACTGCTTCTTCCTGGGTCCACGAAGGCACAAGCATCTTCCAAGCAGAAATGAGGGTCCTTTGTGACACTTCTTCCCAGGCCTTCTGTATAAGTCGTATTGCCATAAGGACATCAAATTTCTCCTTCCAAAACTTTCGGACAGTCATATTGTCTCCACCAAACTCGCATTCTTCAAACACCTTATTAAAGAGGCTCTAGTGTAGAGTTTTTTAAAGTTCGCAATAACTTGCTGATCCATTGGCTGAAGAATGGATGTGGTGTTTGGTGGCAAATACTGCACCTTGATAAAAGGATAATTTTCCTGCAATATTTCCTCTAGGTCTTTTGAGTGAGAAGGGGCATTGTCAAGTATCAGAAGGGCTTTGAGCGGCAGTTCTTTTTCCAGCAAGAATTTCTTCACGGCAGGAGCAAAGGTTTCCAGAATCCATTCGTTGAAGATAACTTGGGTCACCCAGGCTTTTTGATTGGACTTCCAATGGACGTGCAGTTTGGACTTAATAACGTTATTTTTCTTGAAAATTCTTGGATTTTCAGAGTGATAAACCAATAGAGGTTTGATCTTGAGGTCTCCGCTGGCATTAGACGAAAACATAAGGGTAAGTCTGTCTTCATGGCTTTGTGTCCTGGCAATTTCTTCTCCTCTTTTGTAATGAAGGTTCTGCTCGGCATTCTTTTCCAGAAAAGACCCGTTTCATCATCGGCATTGAACACTTGTTGTGGGCAGTATCCTTCATCCTTAATACATTTTTGAAAGTTAATAGAGAACTTTCCTGCTTCTTTCTTGTCAGCACTGCCAACCTCACCATGCATAGTAACGCTGTGGATTCCACACCTTTTCTTAAATCTAAAAAACCACCCCCCTGCTGGCTTTGAATTCTTCTTCATTATCTTGATTGCTGCTACTTCCAGGGACGTTTTTCTTTAGATCGTCATAAATTCTCTTGGCTTTGTGACAGATAATATCTTGGGTTGTTACGTCACCTTTCACCTGCCTGTCCTTAATCCAAATCGCTAATAGCCTCTCCATTTCCTCGTGGATTGAAGACCTATGTTTTTCATGAAATAGTTTTGATACTCCTTTGGCTACTTTGGCTGATTTGATTGCATCCTTATTTGTCAAAATGGTGAAAATGGTGGTCTTGCTGAGGCCAAACTCTTTGACGAGGTCACACTGTTTTACCCCACATTCACTCCTTCTAATTATTTCCTGTTTCATTTCAACAGAAATCACCTTCCTGCTTTTTTTAGAAGCCATGATATAAAAAAAATATTGATTTTAACTTAAAAGGACGATATTGAGTTTAACTTAAAAGGAGGTATTGCCGCGATACGTGCTTAAGTTAAGCGCAGTGACTAACGACTGCCTGCAGTGCCTGCGCGGAAGGATGCAATACATCGGCAGCGATCGTGGAAGCTCGGGCGAAGCAGTCGTGGAAGCTCGGACGAAGCAGTCGTGGAAGCTCGGGCGAAGTAGTCGTGGAAGCTCGGGCGAAGCAGTCGTGGAAGCTCGGGCAAAGCGGTCGTGAAAGCTCGGGCGACTTCATTGTATGAATCATGAAATGAAGTTCGCTGTGTGCAGCGTTCGCTGTGCGAGGCGTTCTTTATGCGAGGCACCACTGTACTGTTAAGTGAACCTAGTGCCAGAGTGTCGCTATGTTAAACAAATAGAGTGAATTTTAAAGAATGCCTTTATTCTATTGTGGTTTATGCGCTGTCGGCGAAGTAGGTTTAATTAAATCCAATAAGTTTAAAAGAAATGCAAGAAACAAATGCGTATAATTTAATATTCCGTACAAGGAAGTCATGTGTACACATCAGATTTTTTCAAATAATGTTCTTTATATTATATTTTTAATTATAACTGTTATATTTTAAGTAATTTTTTCTTTTTGGAATTTCATTTTACTTGTTTAAGTTGCACCCTTTCTTTCGGATAGCTGTTTTAGAATCTAAAATTTAGAATAAAATTTTCTATTTACCCCATTCGAACTGAGTAGTTTAAATAAAAGATGCATCGTTTATTTATTTTTTTTTTTTCAAATAGTTTTCTTTGTAATTTATTTTTTTTTTTTTGTCATAGTTATTATTTTAGGTAATTTTTAAATTTTTTTATATACTTTTATTTTAATTGTTTGTGTTTCGTTGTCTCTTCAGATAATTGTTTTAAAATTTTCTATTTATTCATTCGAACTGAGCATTTTAAATATATTTATTAATATAAATTTTACAGGATTTGACTGAAATGACATGCCAATTTTTTTCCATATTTCGATTCTACGACTGAAAATACGCCAAACTACCACGTTTTTTAAAAAATCGCACGAGTAGTTTTTAAAAAATTATCTCTCAAAATTTTAGCTCCTCAATGTTAATTGAGTTTGGTATATTTTATTAATCTGTCTTTTTTTATTAAACATTTGATTCTTCCTTTCACATTTCGAAGTTCAGGTTCATTCCAAATAAAATTCATCCATTTTATTTTAAAATAAACATTTATATTTTAAAATCTGTATTTTTTAAATAATTTTTATACATTTTTCGAAAAAGATTTTGAATTAAAATCTATAAAATTTTTACCATCATCTTAAAGTAGACGTATTTCTAAGCATGCCTGCAAAAAATTGCAGTTTTTATTTTCCGAAGATATACGTAAATTTATATATTAGCGCGTTTTGAAATTTGTCATATTTGTTGAAAGCGATAAAACATCAAATGTGGCTTAGACACTTTGTTAAAATTATTTGAAAGTAGGAACGATGGGACTTTTTTCCCTCTCATGCACAATGTAAAAATGTAGGAACGAAGTGCTTTTTCTTTTTTTCCCCTCCGGCGTAATGGAAGGGAAAGGAAAATAGGTTGCCATATATATTAAGAAGTTAGCCAAGTGAATTATTCTTGGCGCAGACTGAAAAAATTACGCAAAGATAAATTTTTGAATTTCTCCGTAAATTAAAATTTATATCTAGGCACAATTTGAGTCGTAGAATCAAAATATGGAAAAAAAAATTGGTATGTTATTTCACAAAAAGTCCGATTTTGTGTCAAAATACCTATGTTAGAACAATGCTATATATAAATATAATATACATATCCTAAGTCGCGCTTTCGAGACATAAAAAACGGAATTTGAATTTCGTCAATCGGCCCAGTAGAACGGGAGATATCAAACTGACCTTTTTTTTTTTTTTTTTTTTTTTTTTCGCAATATAATTTTGGAGATAATTTTGGGGTTAAAAACAGAAATATGTTCAGTAGTCAAATAATCATGCATTTGGTAGCAGACGCTTTGAATAATTCGTGCGCATATAATTCGCAAAATAACTTTTGGTTCCTAATCGCACTGAATGCTATGGTCATTTTTCGGGTCCCAAGCTCCAAGCGCTCCAACTACAACGGCTTCAACCCGGACATCGTCATAAGTACCCTTGAGGGCCTCAACGAGAGAAGCATATTTCTCTTCCTTGGCCAATCTGGCGTTGTCGATTACATTTACAAGGATGAGTAACAATTAGAAAATTTGCCCCCCCCCCAAAAAAGTATCTGAAAGCTTTCAAATTTTATATTACGCCCAAAGGGGCGTTTCTTTAGCATTTTGTGTGTTACCTTTCTTAAATATCATGTTCTTCCCACTTAAACAATGAAATTCAATTCAACAGCAATATCGCAAAATAATTTAAAAAGAGCATATCTTTAGAATTTCCGATACACAGTCTCGCGCGCTGGAGATTTTTTTTTTTTTTCCCGGTGCAGTGTTGCTATTGCTTGCTTTGAAATCGTTGAGTTTGTTAATGAAAAATTCCTTAAAGTTTTACAAAATATGAAACAGACAATAAAACCAATTCTAAATTTGGACTCTCAGATGCTCATATTCGAATGGAGGACTACGTTGTTCAAAATATGATGTCTCTAGATTTTTTACATTGCGATAAACATACATACATTCATGCAGATTCCTCATTATTTAATTTCTTTAAATATAAGGCAGGGTTCTAATAGTTGGTGGCAACAATTTGAAAAGTGAAACGCCGTGTATAGTGAACCAATGCAAAATGCCAAGACGAAATTAACAGTCCTTCTGGGCAAATTGCCCCTTAGGGCTAACAGTGGTGCAGTTCTTTAACTGATGTGTATTACTGATCCATGGCAAGGATGCTATAAAGAGGCTCCAGTTGTCCATTAAAGTCCCGAAATCATGAACTGAGTAAGCTTTGTATCCATTCTTGCCTAAAGAAATGTGAGATACCAGAAAATTCTATTAATTTAGTGAAAGAAAATCTTCTTTGGAGGTCATTCGTAAAAACAAATGCTCTATAAAAGAATGAAAAGCTTAGGATAAAGATATGTAAAGATATGTAAACTATTCAGAATACTTTTATGAATATCGTTTGATGAATTTTAAATAACAATTAGAATCCCAAAGTTGTTTAAAAATCCAAAAAACGCAAAATGCTTCAGAAAAACAAATTCAATTCCAGCAGTTTAAGTATATTATTTTAGACGCTGTCTTTTCACAGTACTATAGCTTTACATAGCTAATTCCTAGTTGATTCGGTTTCCTTTAATAGTTATTACAATTATTCGCGATCCATTTGAAAAGAACTTATTAAGGAATAGAGCAAATTTTTATTTTCAATTGTAGTCAGGAGTATCTTCTTTTGTTTATTTGTGTTAATTTAGGTTGAAGTCCTTCATTCGTTTATAGCGTTTAAGTGGTAATTAACTCCCAGATATATTTATTCTAGAATGCCTACTCTAACTTCAGGAATTGGCCGTGAAAATATGTATTTCTTTTAAATTTATTATATTTGTTATAAGAACGATAGCACAAATCTGTTCATTAGTCAGGGAAATCGCAAAAGATAATAAGGTATTTTCTCCCTCCATCCAGCATGCCTTCCTAGTGTAATGGTAGCACACTTGGCACGCATTCGAAGAATCCAGCTTCAAGTCCCGGCGAGGGCACTGCACATTTTTCACCTCTCCTGCCTCAAAAAAACCTAATAACTCAACAGTAGCGTCCGAACTGAAATGGTGGTGGATGATAATTCGTCACTACGAGGATTTGGCCATTGGGTCCACTAATGCCCAGTCACCCTTTAGTATATAAGTATTCTTCCTCCTTCAACATGCCTTCGTGGTGTAATTCGTAGCACATTCAGCGTGTATTCGAGAGGTCCAGCTTCGAGTCCTGATTAGTCTTTCGACGAATAATCGTTTTTTTCTTAGACTTAATTTAAAGCATTAAAGAAATATACAAATAGATAAACAGTACCTAAAATATTTGTTGTTTCTAGCAATCATTTAATCGCAACAAACCAAAAATAATAGATGCAGATATTTAAGTAAACAGTACGTTTAAGCATGTATGCATAAAATACTTCTTCAGCTTCGTTTTCGGTAAGGATCATCTGATAGCTAGCTTGCACTATTTCTGAGCTACAAGAAGTTAAATAAACTAAATTTCGTCGGTCTGTAGTATTAGTTATCGTCTTGCTGTGCTGACTATATGTCTCATTTTAAACAAGACAGTCCCATTTGACTGTTGTACCTGATTCTTTCAAACATGCTTAGTAAAACTAACCAAGATCAAAGCATATTTTAAAATATACGTCTAAAATGACACAAAATCAGGATTATGTCATTTTTCACATGTATATTAAAATATAATTTGATTCTGGTTAGTTATAATTTGCATAAGTTTGTGTCGTGGCACAACCGATCATTCTTGTGCAAACGGGCTGACTGAAAGATAAAATAAGAGCTGGTAATATTTGAATGTTGTTAGAATCTCGATGATAGCAGCATACGCATACACCGTGAATCTTCAAGTTTCCGATTCAGCTTTTTCCATGCTTTATGGCCACAAACTGGAAATCTCCAATGTGAAATTACATCGGTAAATTTTGATGTTAAAAGAGGATTCTTTTTCTTCAAAATTGATAAATTATTATAGATGCAAAATAAAGTACTATGATGTATATTTTTCCATTGCTTATTGGCATACGGTATCAGTTGCCGATGGATATTAAAAGATATATTTGATGCGTAAAGTTGGTTCGAAACACATATGGTATTAATACTAAAGCACTTCTTTGTATCGATAAAACATTTCTTTATATCTAAGTCTATATTTATGTAATAAAGCCTTTTTTTAAAAAAAAGATGCTACGATCTTTATTAAAAGATAGGTTTGATACGTAAAGCTGGTTCGAAACACACATATGGTATTAATACTAAAACACTTCTTTGTATCGT